ACCACAGCCATTTCAAGGAAGATATTTATGCTGAGGCCAACTGAAAAAGATAAACATACAGTAAATGTTTTTCCTGGTATTCATGGGCTGTATCTGCAATGGTAATTTTGTTGGCGATGAATGTGAGTGGAATGGTAGGGCTCTGCTTCATGACCTATGTTCTCCTTCCTTGTTGATTTATTTGAAGAGGTTATAATTATATTTCACAAGTCTCTCCCACTGGGGGAAAAGCAATGCCTACATGTATCACAACATGACTCAGTATGACCAGGACAGTTGGTTTCTGGTATCTATTAGACCGGGGGTCTCAAACTTCTTTGCACCGTGACACTCTTCTGACAACAAAAATTACTACACAACCCCAGGAGGGGGGACCAAAGCCTGAACCTGTCCGAGCCCCACCACTCTGGGTGGAGTGGGGGCAAAACCTAAGGGATTCAGCCCCAAGCAGGGGGCCTGTAACCCGAGCCCCACTACCCAGGGCTGAAGCCCTCAGCCTTCGGCTTTGGCCCCACGCAATAGGACTCAGACTTTGGACCAAGGACTCAACAAGTCTAACACCAGTCCACTTTGGGGTCCCAACCCACAGTTTAAGAACTGTTGTATTAGACTAAAGATATCTGGCTGACCAAAAGATAACATTTCATGCAGAGTAAAATGTGTGCATCATTACTGCAAAGTATGCAACTTCGGTACTAGTGAAACGAATTAGCTGTTGATGATAGAAAAATATTCACCTGTGATCTGTCCTTTTTGCACAGCTTGATATCCTGTCTCACACTGGCCCTTCAGCCCCGGGTATTAGAACATTTCATGATTCCTTCTTAGTTTCCAAACACAGGATTTGTATTGAAATGCTATGAATGGGTAGAATGTGATCAGAGATAGTCCTCATCGGACTGGATTATGTATTAGTGTCCCACATGAAGTCAGAGATGGGAGACTTTGTAGCAGGGGATTGACCCTCATGAAATTGAGAGGAGTAGGATTTTCTGTCACTTCAAAGAAAAGCAGCTCACAAGCAGCAGCTGTTTTAAATTTAGGGGCAGAGAAGCAACTAGTTGGTGACTAAAAATGTGGCCAACATCTTCAGAGATATTTTCATGGACTATCTTCCCATCTACTCACAATTGCATGGACCACTTTCTCTCCCAAAATACAACCAGTCAGACATCCAGACAACATTCCCTGGCAACAGCTGTAATGAAAAACTAACATTAGGAAAGTGTTTGATGTAGTTTTAGCCCATTGTACTGCAATTTAATAATTGGATGGCAGCATGCTCCAGTCATGTGTCCTTCCTCCCTCAGCACATGGAGGGTGGCTGGGAGTGCAGTTATACTGGCTCCCTCATGCTGGGAGAATCCCCAGATACCAGTTTAACAAAGCTTTATGATGCCTTTGTTCCACCAAAATGGGGCAAAGACAGCATAATGGGAGTCAGGAGCTCCATGGTGATAAATTCTTGCCTGGTTTTCCAGATTACACTATTACTTATTTGTATTACAGTAAAACCAGAGGAGGGGCTAAGTAACTAAGGCCAGCTCCACGTTGCGGTAGAGCAGTTTAGCTATGGTGCCAAAACAATGCCAGCATAACTCTATAATACAGACACGGCCTCAACGAGGGGTAGGCAACCTATTGCACACGTGCCAAAGGTGGCACGCAAGCTGATTTTCAGTGGCACTCACACTGCCCGGGACCTGGCCACCGGTCCAGGGGGCTCTGCATTTTAATTTAATTTTAAATGAAGCTTCTTAAACATTTTAAAAACCTCACTTACTTTACATACACCAATAGTTTAGTTATAGATTAAAGACTTACAGAAAGAGACCTTCTAAAAATGTTAAAATGTATTACTGGCACGCGAAACTTTAAATTAGAGTGAATAAATGAAGACTTGGCACACCACTTCTGAAAGGTTGCCAACCCCTGGCCTAAACCAACAGAAGGGTGTGTTTTTTCATTGCTGTAGCAACACTCCCTCCCCGAGCGACAGTAGCAAGTTCAACTGAAGTATTCCTCTATCGACCAAGCGGCATCTACATCACAGTTAGGTCAGCATAGCTATGGCTCTGCGGGGTTTGTAAAATCCACACCCCCTCCCCCACCGAGTGCTGTAGTATGTTGACCTAAATTTTAGGTGAAAACCAGGTCTATTTGCTTTGAGAGAAATTTGTGTTTCTGAGTCAATTAGGCACTTTTGAGAATCCCACCCTAGAAACTTGAACTGGGACTAGAGTAGCACCCCCATTGTACTAAGCATCGACAAACACATAGTAAGACAGTCATCTTATCAACTAAATAGGGAAGGAAGGGCTCCAATACACAAACATAGTGATCAGAACAGATGGCTGGCAAAAGTCATGTTGATTCCATGCTTTGCTTATTTGAGATGGGGCTTTAATGAGTCTGATGGTATCACCAGTAGCCAGGGACTGTAAAAATCTACTGTGAGGGTAAGTCCACATGGGTTTGGTGCATGGGGAAGGATTTGGTGCATGTGATGGGATCATAATCAAATGTTGCCTGCATTTGGTAATGCTCTGGTGAGTGTTATTTGGATGACGCTTCTCGTCACCACCTGGGTAATAGTATTCAATCAAAATAACATTTTAAACAATACATGTGATTTCCTCTTAGAACAGCTGGGTACCTGCTCCTGAAAATCAGAGAGACAAGGTGAGTGAGTTAATATTGTACCAACTTCTGTTGGTGAAAGAGACAAGTTTGAGCTACTGTGTTGGCCCAATAAAAGATATTACCTCACCCTCCTTGGGTCTCCAGTATCCTGGAACAAACACAGCTATAAAACTGCACACAACAGTGGAAGATATTGAATTTTTCCTCATGCAAATGCCTCATTTTACCATGGCCAGTCAGAACCATGCCCACAGGAGGAATAAGAAAACAAGAAAACCAGAGTAGCACTATGCAGACAACAGAAAAGTGAGGCTGGAATGAAGACATATAAATATGGTTTTTGTGATCCTGAAACAGATTTGAAAGCACAGCATCTTGAGGTTCAACCTTAAGGATCATGAAACACATCATTTCCTTCTACTCTTTCTAGAACTATAATGCATTAAGTGCTGAACAACTGGGAATTTAAATCATTGCAAACTACATATTTGAATTCAAAGCACTTCAAATGGTTTTCAAAAAACACAGTAAAATAAGACAATCATTCAGCAAATTATAAAACCAACAGATGTAACTAACTGATGCTATAATCCCAGAATGACTACAACTGCCCCCGCTGTGCCTTCTTCTTAAATATCATGTTCTACTTGCTGTATTTCCTAATCTAACCAAACCTTATGTCTGTCTCTGGAGACAGGGTTGTGGGGGAAGGAATATATAAAATTGGGGCCTGATCCTGCAAACATTTATAGCTGTGAGTAATCCCTCACATGAGTAATCCCATTGATTAATTTAAATGGGCTGGATTTTCCACCCCCTAGGTCCTCCCTCTAATCTACACATGGATCTGTCCACTTCCATGCAGGGTGGAATGGGGATATAATCACCATTGTAGCACTGCCCCCACCACCCCTGAATACACACAGATCCCTAAGGGAACTGCAGAGGTTTACGGATTCAGCTGGGGGAAGGAACAATGATGTACTGGGGTAGTAAGCAGAGGAAGGACAGATCATCTCCTGCCTATGACAGATTCCCTGAACCAGCACAGCCCCACCCAGCCAATCTTTATCATGAAGCCAGTGCAGAGGCACAGAGCCACCATGGGGAAGATCCCAACCTCCCAAAGATCCTCCATGTTTGGGGTCCAGCCCCACAGCCTATGCAGAGGCATAGGGGTTAAGGTTAGCCCTAACTCCTATAGAACAATCAGGGAGAAACTGTATCAAGGGCTCTCTGCAGATAATTTCCTCTCCAGAGTCTGCTCCTGCGGGTGTCATCACAGAGGGATCAGAGTAACAGCTGTGTTAGTCTGTATTCGCAAAAAGAAAAAGGAGGACTTGTGGCACCTTAGAGACTAACCAATTTATTTGAGCATGAGCTTTCGTGAGCTACAGCCACTTCACTTCACTTCACGAAAGCTCATGATCAAATAAATTGGTTAGTCTCTAAGGTGCCACAAGTCCTCCTTTTCTTTTTATCACAGAGGGAATGATCTGTGCTGATGGAGCTACATATCTGAATAAAGTTAATCATGGTTGTTAAATATCTGAGGGATCCAGCCCTTAATTTCCATGTATTTCACCCTTATTTCCATACAGTTACCCAGTCCATGGAAAATCCCCAGAGAACTTGGAAGGACAACTCATTCCCACTTGAAAAATTCATTCCTATTTCACTAGGGATTGTCCTAGAACCAAGTAATTATCTACATTACAGCCAGGAAGAAAGTAGTATAGGAAAAGTTCTTTGCCTTATATTTTGTTTAAGAGGAATAGTATAGCGAGAAAAAATCCCAAGACTGTGGGATGTAAGGGTGATTTTTATACTAAGAATTGTCATCTCTATGTAATAACTCCCTGCCCTGTAAAGCACCTAATGTACTAAAATATAATAAATTAATGTTTTACTATATTTTTGTCTCACACCTGTCTGCCTAGACTAATATCTGTCAGCCTTGATCCAGCAGGCCTGTTCTGCCACTTCCTATTTGTCTGACTTACTCAAATGTGATTTATTAGCTTGTCTGTTTTTTAACCCTGTCCTTCTACATGCTATGCTTTCCGATACAATCATTGTGTATTAAACGTGTTTATGTTCTTTTCATGTAACTGTGTTATTTAGCCTAGACGTATATTGTAAGTATATTGGCTTTTTCCTCTAAGACCATAAACAATCCATATGAAGTCGAGAGATATGTAATATTTTCATCATGCAGTAGTTGTGCTTATTATAACTTCGTAGTAGACATTTTGCACTTTGACCAAAAGTGCCCTCCACAATTTTAATTTCTAATAACAAAGACAAAATATGAATGTAAGTCACAATTCTGAGTGCTCTAGCAAAATATTGTGCATTTCAGAAAATATACACTTGTCTCTGGTTCTTTACAGGAAACATAGCTTCTTACCGTGGTACAAAAACCTTGTTCTGAGGCCTCAACTGAAGCTGTTTGCACAGGAAAGACAGTGGGATAAGCCAGAGGTAGTGCTGTAGTTGACAGCCATCACTCCTACTCACTGCATTACCAATGATTGCCGATCTAATGAAACGAGACCCTCAGAAAATTCAGACTGAAAATTTGATTAGGTAAGACAGCAAGTCTCAGCTGAAGTCTGTGAAGGAGGCAGGCTGTCTGTGTCTGAATTTAAGATAGCGGTGCATAGGTGGAAAATGGCACATATATTTAGGATTTTATAAAAACAAAGGTTTTATAAGGCGTGAGATCACAAAAGAGAAGACAGCTAGGAACTGATTAGACACAAAGTGAAACTCACCCAGGCTCCAGTGCTACAATGTGATGTACACAGGCAGACCCTTAGGCCTGCACGGAGTCCAGCTGACTTCAAAGGGTCTCCAGAGAGACACTGGGGTCTGCCCACATATACCACATTGCAGGATTGGGGCCTAAGTTGTTTACAGTGTCCAAACTGAATGAAGTGGGATAAAAAGTAATACACAAATAATATGAAATAAAAATCCAGCACAAATAATGGAAAGTTAATTAGATGTTTAAAATTCTTTCAGTTTTAGTCATTCATGGTGTTACTACTAACATCCATGAGGAAATGTAAGAATTTCTTTTTAATGTGTGATGTTGCTCAAATAGATAACCTTTCTGGCAGGTGATGTCAGCAGCAACAAGGGCAGGGTTCAATACCTGCGGGTTCCTCTTAGCATTACAAAATATATCCAGCTCTAGCCACCCAGTGCCTCTGACAGGCAACACTTCCCCACTCACAAACACTGAGTCTGGTATAACCAAAAGAAAAGTTTTATTAACAGGAGGGGTAACATTAATTTGAGAAAACTCCACTACAATGACTCAAAGGTATGCAAACAATAAATAAAATACCCACCCCACAATATCTTGGACAGTGTCCTTTGCCTCAATTTCCCTTGCAGAGTGAAATTCTAATGACCCTTTCATATGCCACTGGCTATTTCCCTCTGCTTCAGCCCACTCGTGGTTTGTACTTCAAGGTCAGTGAAATTCCATAATCCAGGGATGTGTTCAGGTGAGTTCACCTCAAGCCCCGGTGGATAGGGGTAGTGATGCCTCCACCACCTCTTACTGCTGCCATCTCTGCCAGCGCATTGTGGCATCTCACCTCAGTTGCTTTTCACCACTCTTCCGCTGTGTTAGTTTGGTCCACAGCACCACAACCACCTAACCCAGCCAGCAGTAATCTCAGCTCTAAGATTTGCTGGATAGGGAGCACCTTAGCAGCTCTCAGCATGCTGCCCTTGGCTATGATGCCATGTTCTGGGTCCCACCATCTAGCTCAGATTATTTCAGCTCTAGTGGTTTCACTGAGTAGTGGGGAACCTCACGGTTGCTGCTCTCTCTGCACTGTCCTTCAAGGCAATGCTGTTACCATACCAGATCTAAAGCTCAGGCCCCCCAGACCAACTTATCAGTGATTTCAGCTCTCGTGATTGTTGAAAAGAGACAAGCACGCTCAACTGAAAGTATTTAGCTCTGGCTTTAAACAGTGCAAGGGGGATGGGTCAAACGGCATGTAGGGCTCACCACCAGGTTGTCCACTCTCCTCTGATTTTCATTTGGGTTTGGCATCAGAACCTCCCACTTAGCAAGTGAGGTTTAAGTCATGGTGACCCACAGTGAGGGCATATTAAGTACATATTAAGTGCCTTTTAGTCCCACAATAAAGATAACATTTCATTACCCCTGCATCCAAGCCTTAAGCAAAATTCAATCCAAAATAGACAAAATTGATTACTTTGGCAAAGTTTATACAAATAACGTCTACTCATGAGGTCTTTTTCTTCAGCTCATCAGTAGAAAGCAGGAAACACCTCATTCCGACTACCGGCTTACTAATATACGATTTTTCAACTGAAATTTACTCCTGAATGTTTGCAGGGCAGTAGAACCGGCATTTGAGAGGCTGCATTGACAGCTACAACCCATAATCCACAATAATGCTGCCAACGCATGGGTTATTCCTGAACTTTAAGAAGCCTCCTGTATCTTCCTTGCTATTTGGTGAGTGAACCAGCCTAGTTAATGCTGACTGATGTCTAGATTCTTGGTGGAGGAACGGAGGTTTGGTGAGATGGACAGTTGCCACCCACTTCATCCTGGTCTCTCAATACCCTGGCCTGTCCCCACAAAGCAAAATTCACACAAGCAGCACCAATAGCCAAAGAAAGTTACCTTTGGACAGCTGAGCTGTGGTCCCTAGGGGAGACACAACGGCTGCTTGTTTATTGTATGCATAGGCTTTTCTCTAGTTCGTATTACTGTAGTATCTGATCCCCTCATAAATATTAATTTAACTAATCAACATTCTTGTAGTAGGTAAGTATTAGCTCCATTTTGCAGACAGGGAAACTGAAGTAGAGACGTATTAATGACTTGCCCAAAGTCACACAGGAACTGCTGTGGCAGAGCCAGTAATAAAATCCAGATTTCTGGAGGACAAGTCCTATGTGTTAGCCACAAAACCAACCTTAGTTCCAGACAAAAGGGATGAGCCACTGATTGAAAGAGGAATAGAGACTCCTGACAGAACGCTGACTCTTGGCCTTTTTAAACAGTGTCAGGAGAGTCAGGATTATAGCCAGTCAGTGGCACATCTTGTCTAGCCTCACGGCTAAGCAGTCAGTTTTACAGTGTAGAGTCTTTCACCATGTGTGCATGCAACTGTATACATCATCAAGTATATGAGTCAATGTCTCCACAGACTTATGGGGCTGAAAATATCAGCAGCCTCGACACCTTAAAAGGTCTTGGAGTAGCTGAAGATGGAAGTGAAACCTGATACAGCAAGCCCAGCCAGAAGGGCATGCAGATGTAGCACAGAGAGTTAGGGTTAAGTGTCTGCCAATGTTTCCATTATCAATCCTTAATTCCAGGGGTTTGTAACGGCTCCATAAATACTTAGTCCCAAGGGAAGCTAAGCAGATAAAACCCCAGCCTGCTAGCAGTTCTCTTTATTTATTTACTTCCTTTTGCCTTTCAGCAAATCTGAAAATATGACATAGCTTGAGAATGTGAAATATCTAAGATTTCGGTGCCTTGAGATTTTTTCATTTCAAAGTTTAATAAAAAGATATTAAAAGAAAGAAGAATGAAAGAAGAGATTTCTAGTATTGCGCTTAGAACAAATAAAGCCTAAGGCCCTTCATAGCACAAACGCCTACTCACATGTGACAATGGGACAACTGCTGTGCAGAAAGTAACTCACGGATGTTTGTAGAATCAGGGCCTACATCAGTACTTTAAAGATGCCTTTTTTAATGATGTTTCTGCTGTGTATCTGCTGAAAACAGTTGGCAGGTGGATTTGCTGCAATGCATACCCATCAGCCCCACATCATCCCTCCTCTGAATGCCCTGCCCCATCAAACCCCACTCTGCACCCCAGGACAGAGACTGCACTCTACCATATATAACGATACGCACACACACAATCAATGTTTCTGCATTCAGCACCTCACCCCATTAGGGTTCCCTGCGCAGGGCCAAATTCTGGCCCTCATCATAAATATCTCACAAAACCTCTTGTGGCCCTCTTAGGATACAAAACCATAGGAGGAGGCTTTGAGGAAGTAATAGACAAACAATTCCCCCTATACTGTCTTGTCAGTGGAGCAGGGTTTGAAAAGGCTGTCAGAGGCACCCCCGATCTTGCAGATACCCAGAGATCCACAAGAGGCCTGTGCCTCTGTGGCAGTTCTAAGTCATAGTAGAAGTTGTGCTGTCAAGGCTGATTCCTAACTATGAATGTCCCAAGACTGCCCCTACTCTGTATTCCACCTCATCTCCACAGAATCAGAGGTGGAACGGTAAGTGCTTCTCCCACAGTCCCATTCATAGAATATCAGGGTTGGAAGGGACCTCAGGAGGTCATCTAGTCCAACCCCCTGCTCAAAGCAGGACCAAACCCCAATTTTTGCCCCAGTTCCCTAAATGGCCCCCTCAAGGATTGAACTCACAACCCTGGGTTTAGCAGGCCAATGCTCAAACCACTGAGCTATCCCTCCCCCGCATTCACCCCATATGACCTGCCTCTCCATTCCTCTACTCAGCCCACCCAGTCTACAACCCCTCTCCAGTGTAGATGCCTGACCCACACAGACCAACATAGTCCTCTTCATCTGGAGGAGCTGGGGTGATACTGCAGAAACATCTGAACCTCTCTTCCCAAGTGGGAGGCAAGGAAATCCACTCACAGAGAGTCTCCTCTTTGTGCAGAGATCATGGAATGATTGTGTGTGGAATGATCCAGGCTTCTGCTCTTAGTTATTCTCGTTACTACAGATTTACTCTCACTGGTATAAATGCAAAAAGAATTTGATCCATGGTATGGCACTTAGACCTTCAGCTCAAGGAACAAGAAAGTAGACTTTATCGTCATTTGTTACAAGTAAAGTAGACTTTGTTGCTGAAATAAAATTGGGGTTTATTTATCTTAGATAACAATTCACATTTTTGCAAAGATACCCATTGCTCTGGTGACTGGACAAAAATGTTATGCCACAGACAGGCAAGTATTTCTTCACTGTGCATACATTGTTGCTATACATTGCCATGCACTGGTATGTTACATAAGAGATGGTTCCCTGTACATTGAGAATGTTAAGTACAGGCTGCTACAGTAAAGTGTTCATTTTTTTCAGCAACGCTGTAACTCCTAACTAACTGAATTGTCACATTGGTTTATGAATTTAGCAGGAATATGTTTTAACAAATGAGATTCTTTTAAAATTTTTGTTCTACTAGTTCTGCCTTATGCAAAAATATTGTAAACGTTCCTTTAAGCAGTTTGGACAACAGGGTGGAAAATATGTTATAAACTTTAGGGGAGATTGTCAAGTATTTGTATCCTAATTTTAAACTTCACTTTCTGTTATAAATATCACCTTATAATAAAGGATTTGCCATGCAATGTAAGACCACGTTAACTTGTCTCTGCTTGTGGCTGTGGCCAGGTTCATCAATAAAAAGTAAATAGAGAATATTTTCAGTTATGTTGAACCAATAACTACACCAGAAACCTGATTCTAAGAATTCCAATCTAAACAAAAACAATAGCATGTGTGTGACCCAAGGAGTCCCTCACTGCCAACTGGCAGAGGGAACATTGTATCATAATTCACATCAGGCCTGGCACACTTGTCCCAACATGGTCATACTCTATCTAAACTGTGTCACGTAAGGTATCATGTGCAAACCAGTAACTAGCTGGTCATTAAGATTATTGTGGAAGGTATGTATGGGTGGTGTATAAAGAATTAGAGAGGTGTGCTGGAAATCTGTTTTTAAAAAGGAGTTTTGCAAGCAGTGCATAAGGTCAGCCTATCCTAAACAAAGGAATGTTATTTTGCCTGTTTTCCTGTATCTCCAATGTAAATCGAGCCAGGTAATACCTGTGATGACAGCAACAGTACATTTACATATTAGGTAAACAAAGCTATCAAGCTAAATGTATGAGGGAAGACTGTTTAATGAGCATGACAGGGGATGGAGCGTACATCCCCAGGAAGACTACCTGGCTTTTGAAACAGACAATAGACCTTGAGAAATATAAGCAGAAACAGAAAACCATTTTGGCATCCATCTCCTAGGGGACAAAGAGGGAGCAGTGCCCTTTGGGATCATGAAAAGTGGATTCTCTTGGCCTCAAAACCAAGTGGGACTGGAACTGACTGTAGGTGGATAACCTGCTTAGACAAAGATTGTAATTTGCTGAAGTTAAGTTTGTCACTAGAAAATGTGTTTTGTTTTGCATGTCACCATATCTGTCTTTTATGCTTACTTCTTATCACTTAAATATCTTTTCTTTGTTAATAAACTTATTTTTGTTTTATTACAGAACCATCTCAGTTCATTGTATTAAACTGAAGGGTGAAGTCCTCAGATAAACTAAGAGGCTGGTGTGTGCTCTGTCTCTTTGGAGGCAGTGAACTTAATAACTTGTGAGTATTCAGTGAGAGGGACTGGACATCACAGGTGAAATGGTTTTGGGGAGAGGACTGTCGCCTTGCAAGGAGTAAACCAGGCTGGTGAAATCCAGGGTGAGACCATTGTGCTGTGAGCAGGTGGCTGGTGTCATGGGTCTGAGCCAAAGCAGCACAGCACCTAACCACCCAAGGTTACAGAACAGGCAGTGACAGAGCCCCTTACTGGTCTGGGTAAAACCCCAAAGCATCACATTGGTAGTCATAGAGGATTTACACATAGCTTGCTGTTTGACTTTGGTTCACACCACAAGGCATCACAATGGGACCTATCATAGAAATGTAAGGCTGGAAGGGACCTCAAGAAGTCATCAAGTGCAGCCCCCTGTGCTGAGGCAGGACCAAGTAAACCTAGACCATCTCTGACAGGTGTTTGTCCACATGGTTCTTAAAAAACTCCAGTGATGGGAATTCCACAGCTTCTCCTGAAAGCCTATTCCAGGGATTAACTGCAGTTACAATTGGAAAATTTACCCTAATATCTAACCTAAATCTTCTTTACTGTACATTAAGCCCATTATTTCTTGTCCTACTTTCAATGGACATGTAGAAAAATTGATCACCATTCTCTTAACAGGCCTTGACATATCTGAAGACTTATCAGATCCCCCCAAATATTATTTTCTCAAGACTAAGCCTGTCTAGTTTTCTTTTTAACCTTTTCTCATAGGTCAGGTTTTCTAAACCTTTTATCATGTTTGTTGCTCTCCTCTGGAGTCTCTCCAGTTTGTTCACATCTTTCCTAAAGTGTTGTGCCCAGAAGTGGACACAGTATCCAAGCTGAAGCATCACCAGTGTGGAGTAGAGCAGGACAACTAGCTCCAGTGTCTTACAACACTGCTGTTAATACACCCCAGAATTATGATAACCTTTTTTGCAACAGCATCACATTGTTGACATGTGTGGAAGTATAACATTGTATAAGTATAGCCTTGTATAAGGGGACATGCTGGATACATTGTATATGAGAGGGCATGCCAAAACATGTTACAAAGTATCTGAGGGAGCACATGTAGGGACAAAAAGAAAAGGAGTACTTGTGGCACCTTAGAGACTAACCAATTTATTTGAGCATGAGCTTTCGTGAGCTACAGCTCACTTCATCAGATGTATACCGTGGAAACAGCAGCAGACTTTATATACACACAGAGAATATGAAACAATACCTCCTCCCACCCCACTGTCCTGCTGGTAATAGCTTATCTAAAGTGATCAACAGGTGGGCCATTTCCAGCACAAATCCAGGTTTTCTCACCCTCCACCCCCCCACACAAATTCACTCTCCTGCTGGTGCTAGCCCATCCAAAGTGACAACTCTTTACATAATCAAGTCGGGCTATTTCCTGCATAGATCCAGGTTTTCTCACATCCCCCCCACCCCCATACACACAAAAACTCACTCTCCTGCTGGTAATAGCTCATCTAAACTGACCACTCTCCAAGTTTAAATCCAAGTTAAACCAGAACATCTGGGGGAGGGGGGTAGGAAAAAACAAGAGGAAACAGGCTACCTTGCATAATGACTTAGCCACTCCCAGTCTCTATTTAAGCCTAAATTAATAGTATCCAATTTGCAAATGAATTCCAATTCAGCAGTTTCTCGCTGGAGTCTGGATTTGAAGTTTTTTTATTTTAAGATAGCGACCTTCATGTCTGTGATTGCGTGACCAGAGAGATTGAAGTGTTCTCCGACTGGTTTATGAATGTTATAATTCTTGACATCTGATTTGTGTCCATTTATTCTTTTACGTAGAGACTGTCCAGTTTGACCAATGTACATGGCAGAGGGGCATTGCTGGCACATGATGGCATATATCACATTGGTGGATGTGCAGGTGAACGAGCCTCTGATAGTGTGGCTGATGTTATTAGGCCCTGTGATGGTGTCCCCTGAATAGATATGTGGGCACAATTGGCAACGGGCTTTGTTGCAAGGATAAGTTCCTGGGTTAGTGGTTCTGTTGTGTGGTATGTGGTTGTTGGTGAGTATTTGCTTCAGGTTGCGGGGCTGTCTGTAGGCAAGGACTGGCCTGTCTCCCAAGACTTGTGAGAGTGTTGGGTCATCCTTTAGGATAGGTTGTAGATCCTTAATAATGCGTTGGAGGGGTTTTAGTTGGGGGCTGAAGGTGACCGCTAGTGGCGTTCTGTTATTTTCTTTGTTAGGCCTGTCCTGTAGTAGGTAACTTCTGGGAACTCTTCTGGCTCTATCAATCTGTTTCTTTACTTCTGCAGGTGGGTATTGTAGTTGTAAGAAAGCTTGACAGAGATCTTGTAGGTGTTTGTCTCTGTCTGAGGGGTTGGAGCAAATGCGGTTGTATCGCAGAGCTTGGCTGTAGATGATGGATCGTGTGGTGTGGTCAGGGTGAAAGCTGGAGGCATGCAGGTAGGAATAGCGGTCAGTAGGTTTCCGGTATAGGGTGGTGTTTATGTGGCCATTGTTTATTAGCACTGTAGTGTCCAGGAAGTGGATCTCTTGTGTGGACTGGACCAGGCTGAGGTTGGTGGTGGGATGGAAATTGTTGAAATCATGGTGGAATTCCTCAAGGGCTTCTTTTCCATGGGTCCAGATGATGAAGATGTCATCAATATAGCGCAAGTAGAGTAGGGGCTTTAGGGGACGAGAGCTGAGGAAGCGTTGTTCTAAATCAGCCATAAAAATGTTGGCATACTGTGGGGCCATGCGGGTACCCATAGCAGTGCCGCTGATCTGAAGGTATACATTGTCCCCAAATGTGAAATAGTTATGGGTAAGGACAAAGTCACAAAGTTCAGCCACCAGGTTAGCCGTGACATTATCGGGGATAGTGTTCTTGACGGCTTGTAGTCCATCTTTGTGTGGAATGTTGGTGTAGAGGGCTTCTACATCCATAGTAGCCAGGATGGTGTTATCAGGAAGATCACCGATGGATTGAAGTTTCCTCAGGAAGTCAGTGGTGTCTCGAAGGTAGCTGGGAGTGCTGGTAGCGTAGGGCCTGAGGAGGGAGTCTACATAGCCAGACAATCCTGCTGTCAGGGTGCCAATGCCTGAGATGATGGGGCGCCCAGGATTTCCAGGTTTATGGATCTTGGGTAGTAGATAGAATATCCCAGGTCGGGGTTCCAGGGGTGTGTCTGTGCGGATTTGATCTTGTGCTTTTTCAGGAAGTGTCTTGAGCAAATGCTGTAGTTGCTTTTGGTAACTCTCAGTGGGATCATAGGGTAATGGCTTGTAGAAACTCGTGTTGGAGAGCTGCCGAGCAGCCTCTTGTTCATATTCCGACCTATTCATGATGACAACAGCACCCCCTTTGTCAGCCTTTTTGATTATGATGTCAGAGTTGTTTCTGAGGCTGTGGATGGCATTGCGTTCCGCATGGCTGAGGTTATGGGGCAAGTGATGCTGCTTTTCCACAATTTCAGCCCGTGCACGTCGGCGGAAGCACTCTATGTAGAAGTCCAGTCTGCTGTTTCGACCTTCAGGAGGAGTCCATCTAGAATCCCTCTTTCTGTAGTGTTGGCAGGGAGACCTCTGTGGATTAGTATGTTGTTCAGAGGTATTTTGGAAATATTCCTTGAGACGGAGACGTCGAAAATAGGATTCTAGGTCACCACAGAACTGTATCATGTTCGTGGGGGTGGAGGGGCAGAAGGAGAGGCCCCGAGATAGAACAGCTGCTTCTGCTGGGCTGAGAGTATAGTTGGATAGGTTAACAATATTGCTAGGTGGGGTGAGGGAACCATTGCTGTGGCCCCTTGTAGCATGTAGTAGTTTAGAAAGTTTAGTGTCCTTTTTCTTTTGTAGAGAAGCAAAGTGTGCGTTGTAAATGGCTTGTCTAGTTTTAGTAAAATCCAGCCACGAGGAAGTTTGTGTGGAAGGTTGGTTCTTTATGAGAGTATCCATTTTTGAGAGGGACAGTTAGCTTTTGAATGGAGAAGCAATTAAGATAGAGCCAGCACGTCTAAGAAGCAGGCATCAGAACGGAAGGTGTGAAGGGCAATTAGTTAAGTTAACTGGAAGCTGTTAAAGGAGATTGTTAAGGGTGGCAGGTAATTGAAGATACGTGACTGGTCTCAGGGATCTCGAAGGGTGGTGACTAAAATCTTTTTTCTTCTTTTGTCTGTAACTTCTCTGTAACTTGTTCTCCAAAAACTGTATAAATTAAGAGACACAAGCCCCACTCGGGGGGCTCACTTCTAAATGTATTAGCAGAGCAGCTTTGCTAATAAAACAGAGGGGTCTGATAAATTGTGAGTCTGAGTCAAACTTTGACACATGTTCAATTTGTGATCTACTATAACTGATCCTTTTCAGCAGTACTAACACTTAGCCAGTTATTCCTCATTTTGTAGTTGTGCATTTGATTTTTCCTTCCTAAGTGTAGTACTTTGCACTTATCTTTATTGAACTTTATCTTGCTGAATTCAGACAAACTGGAGAATTGATCAAGGTCATTTGGAATTCTAATACTATCCTCCAAAGTGCATGCAATCCCTCCTAGCTTGGTGTCATCTGAAAATTTTATAAGCATACTCTCCACACCATTATTCAAATCTTTAATAAAACTATTGATTAGTGCTAGACCTGGGACTGACACCTGCCAGATCTCACAAGATACACCTTTCCAGTCTGACAGCAAACCATTGATAACTACTCTGAGTACAGTCTTTCAACCAGTTGTGTACCCACCTTATAGTAATTTCATCTAGATCACATTCCCCAGCTCAAAAATCTTACTAAAATCAATACACATCATATCTACTGTTTCCCCCCTATTCACTAGGCCAGTAACC